GAATGTCCGTCACGTCGACGTTGAATTAGGACGTTGAACTTTGAGATTTATTTGTAATAAAAGAAATAAAAAATTGTGCTCCTATGTAACTTCATACATGGCAAATATCTGTTTTCCCAACATATTCATATATCCTCTTTTGACAAAATTTAAAAATAGACAATTTCGATTTTTTTTTACTATTTCATTACTTTTTTTTTTTAATTACTTTTCTTTGTTATAAATTACTTTTTTAAAAATTATGTTAAAAACTTTTTTTTCAAAACAATTTTAAAACGGATTTGCAACACTTAGATTTATAGCAGTATAACAAAGTCTAATTTTTTGGAATGTTAAATCATGAAATCGATATACACAAATAACAGATCATTATTAATACTTTGAAATTAATTCGCCTTTATATTATATTATATTATATTATATTATATTATATTATATTATATTATATTATATTATATTATATTATATTATATATATATATATATATATATATATATATATATATATATATATTATATATATATATATATATATATATATATATATATTATATGTTAACCTTACAAAAATTTTTGGTTGAGGTTTTTCATTTTCAAAATATATTATATATATATATATATATATATATATATATATATATATATTATATGTTAACCTTACAAAGATTTTTGGTTGAGGTTTTTCATTTTCAAAATATATATATATATATATATATATATATATATATATATATATATATATATATATATACATATATATATATATATATATATATATATATATATATATATATTATATATATATATATATATATATATATATATATATATATATATATATATATATATATATATATATATATATATATATGTATATGTATATATATATATATAACATATAATATATATATATATATATATATATATATATATATATATATATATATATATATATATATATATAATATATATATATATATATTATATGTTAACCTTACAAACATTATTGGTTGAGGTTTTTCATTTTCGAAAATTTGCGGTACGTAATTTAATAACAATGGCAGTGATGTTCATATATTATTTTTCAAGGCGATTTGACGTTTCGATATGTTTGTTTATTAAAACAAAAACAAAAACAAAAACAAAACAAAAATAAAAAAAGGCATAGTTTTTCATTTATGGTGCATAGAACAAATTGAAGTTGGAACGTTCAAAGTAACCTCTCGTAGTTAAGTCACCTCACTTCAAGGTAGCTGAAAGTTTAAAGCGAGATCACATACGTTATTGTAATTATTTAATTCTAATCTTGGAAAAAATTCGTTATTAATTCTATTATTAATTCTATTCTATAGCTAATTATTAATTCTAATTTTGGAAAAAATTTGTAAACCTTGTCGTTTACTTTACAAATTTTTTCCAAAATTAGAATTTTTTCTAAAATTAGAGGATTTTACTAATTATTAAAAGGGTGACTCAGTTAATTGGTTAACAAAAACAGTGAACCAAAATTTGTTATGAAAAATTAACCTAAGTGACGTAATCTCCAGAATTTCACTATATTTATTAAACTTGTCATTTTCTTCAAAAAAAGACTTTTTGTGTTGTTTTCATGGTCTCAATGCACTCTATATCATCTTGTGGTTTCATTAAAGTTTAGTCTTAAAACCCGTTGACTAAAACTAACAATAAAGACTGTAAAGAGTTTGGACTCGACTAAAGTATAAATAATAAAAAAAAATTCAACGTGCCGTAAATAAAGATTTTCTTGAAAAAGTAAACGAGGCAGGTAGGATAACATAATGTTCTGGCGAACATTTGTTTTCATACTTACATGCTAGTTATTTTATTTATTTATTTCGTTTTAAATTTTTCTCTGAGGTAGAGTTTTGTTAAAGTCATATAAATTTAAGCAACATTTTTTGAAACTTCTATTCGACGGATTGACTTGAAATTTCACAGCATATTCTCCAACTCTTAAACTAGATTCTGTACTAAAAACAACAATACAGAGCAAACAGATCTCGCGTAATTCTCATATCTCGTGCATTCTCTATTTCTCAATCTCGTGCATTTTCTATTTCTCAATCTCGTGCATTCTCTATTTCTCAATCTCGTGCATTCTCTATTTCTCAATCTTGTGCATTCTCTATTTCTAAAAAAACCCAAAAAGATTTCTTAACGCTCAAATAGAATCCTTTTCCATTAAAGATTCGTAATATTTTAAAGTTAGACTTTATGAACTTCTTTAGTACTTTGACTACATAAGTTGAACACTTGGTTCGAGTCGAAAAGTTGGCTACTACTTGCAGATACTTAGAATCTAATGTTCAAAGTTTTTATTTTGAGATTTTTGCTGACACTTGACCCAATTTTTTAAGGATGGTTAAAAAAAATCTTTTTAATTTAATATGTCAACGCTAAACCTAGTTTTGTAAAAAATTTTAATTTTTAAATAGTAATGGAGTTAAGCGACCATTTGGTTGAATTGTTTCCATCGGTATTTTTTAAAAAACTTTCAATTAATATTGATTGAGATGGTAAATATTGTGCTTTACTGTATTTAAGTATATTAATACAAAATTACTCGGATTTTTGATTGAGCAAATATGACAAAAAAACCCATTTTAGTTTTATTTAGCGGATCTTGTAGTTTAGAAAATATTTTAAAATAGAGTAAAGCTTTATCTTATTTTGTTAATAATCTTTTTAAACCATTCGATGAAAATTAATATAGTTTAGGTTTTTTTATTAATCTCAGCAAGGCTTTTGAGTTAATGAAGGGTTGACCTTGCTTTCAGAAAGATCATCCATTTATTAGGTAAACTAGAAAAGTAATAGTTGAAGAACTACTTAGGAAGCTATGAGTGCTACTTGTATAGACCCACAAGGGTCTATACTCGGACCTTATTTTTGTTATGTATTAATGACTTAAGTAAATTTTGTAATTTATTAAACACAATCTTGTTTGCTGGTGATACGAAGCTATTTTATGTTCAAAATGAATGGTTTAAAGCAAACAAATTATCACTAAATTAGACTGAAACAAAACATAATTTTTGACTTCGTTATTATGAACGAAATAAAATTCTTTTAAAGATTCCAAAACTTTTTATTGAGGACTGTGATATAAAAAAGGCCTCGATAAAATTTCTCGGCGAACCTTAAAAAAAACAACAAAATTTAAAAACTCTTTAATGTTCAAAAACGTTACACGTTGACAATCACTATCTACGTATATATACTGAATATTTACCAAATAAATACTTTTTAATTTTTATGTTCAAAATTAATTAAAGTATCACTCCTAAAATTTTGAAACCATCATTTAAATAAAATTAGAATAGATAACCAGATAGTTAAATAACATCTATATACAACCTAGAAGTTATTTTGCAGCATCTGCGTTTTCAATCTTAATTGGAGGACAAATAAACTTAAACAGGGCTGCTGGGAGCCGTTACGCCGCTAAGAGCCGTCACGCCGCCTGAGACAACAACACTGATTGGCGCCCTTATCTATCAAAATTTCCCTATACATTTTATAGATGAAGGACCTTTTTTTTTTAGGTACCTTTTCTTCATTTGGCGCCCATTAGATATTTGCCGCCCGGGACAAACCGACCCTTTCTCTTACCCCCCCCTCCTCTTGGTGGCATTGAGCTTAAATCACTAACAACGTTTAAAGAACTTAAGGCAAAATCAAGACAGCGATCACTAATGAATTAAATACTGCGAAACTATTTCTGATATTGTGTAACTAGCACAAGATTTAATCATATATAAAAATATATCAATGTATATTTTGTTTAAAAAGGAAAAATTTAGACTGACAGTTACTTCTTCTTTTTTTTGATTAAAATTTACTCTAACAAAATCATGACTTCATAAATTAAAAGTATCTCAATGTTTTTTTAAACATTACATTTGAAATTCTATATTTTTAATTATTTCATTTATTTTATTTTGATTATAACCAATTGGTTATAAAGTATTGAAAGGCAAAAAAATTTTTTTTGATGATTTGCGTTTAATAATAGATTGAAGTAATTTTTAAAGGCAGCAAATAAATTGGCTAAATATATTGGTAGCAGTGTCCGTTTTTACAGTAAACTCTTACGATTGATATTATTTTTTTGTTATTATTAAAGTTTTAAAGAGTGCAAAAGGCAATCTAAGAATTAAATTGTATCAATACACCGATCATTTTAACCTGAATTCACTCCACCTTAATATGTCTATATAAAATTTAAAACTGTTTTAGATATATGTTATAAGCATTTATTAAATTCGCTTATCTTAAAAATAAAGTTCATTAGATATTTGCTTGAAACGTGCTATGAACGTGCTCGTGAAAATACGTTTTTAAACTTTAATTGAAGCCCAGACAAAAAAATCAAAAACGGAAGGCTAAATTATATCTTATTTTCTTGAATAACTTTAAAAAGTAAATATGTACATTGCAGTGCTAAAGCGATCCTCTACAACTTTAAAAAAAAATAGAAGCTCATGGATTAAAACTCTCATCTTCAAAGATTAAGCCGTTTAGCTGGATATTTTGCTTATAAAATGCTACTAAATAGTTAATTGCAGCATTAGTTTTAGACGAATTAAATTCATCGTATCATTTCTAAGAAAAAATATCTCAGTGGAACTTATATAACAAAAAACAACATACGTATGTGTGTGAATTTAAATTATTATGCTAATTTATATATTATATATATATATATATATATATATATATATATATATATATATATATATATATATATATATATATATATATATATATATATATATATATATATATAATTTTAATAGATTAAAACAAAATGTATGTTAAAAACATTTTTATTTTTATTGGTTTTCGTACCAGATATGCCTGATTCACACTTTAATAACATGGTGAAGTGATTTGATTGTTTATTTAAAAGTATAAATGCTAACTTTTTTTATCTTTTTGTTTACATTTAGTATTCAAATAAGAATTGTGGTATCTTAT